CCTGTTTTATGTTAAATGAAATAAATGGAGTTTTAAAATTTCACAAGTGTATGACTGAAGGTTGAATATTTCCTGATTGCCACTGTACTTGCCAATTAATTTGAAATCAAGCCTGTCAGTGGGCGTATATTACTTTACTTAGCAAGCTTTCTTTAACAGTTTAAATCTTCTCCCTCTTTAGCTATAAATTGTGGAGATCCTCCACCGGGGCTCGAATCATCAGGAACTGCATCAAGTGGTACTACATACACAGATACAGCGGATTATATTTGTAATGAAGGATTTGTAAGACAAAGTGGTAATTTACAGATTAGCTGTCTAGTTACGGGGAAGTGGGATATAGCTAATATACTTGTTTGTGAAGGTAAGTCTCGACATTTACTTCTTCTGTAATCAATCTTGAAATTCTTAACAAACCTTAAACATGTTCAAATCTTGTGTCTATGATACCTTCTGATTTTTTAATATCAAAAATATTAAATATGAACTGTCAAATCTTGTGGAAGTTGCCATCCGATTTAAAGTTACCTTAGCTTCTTTTTCTTGTTAAAATCATGTTTATTGTTTGATTAATTGATGTTTTTAACGAATAAATCAAGTAGTCTTGAGTGCTAAGATTGATTGAGGATGTAGATAAGCTTGAGCATCAAATTGACTGAAATCCGATTTACAAAGCTTAAAATAGATTCCTTGTTTACTCACTGACTAAAATAGATTGTGATAATCTAGCCACATTTTCGTATAAAAAATTATTAGCCAAACCATGTTTAAAAGATATTTATAAGTCAGAAATAAGGTAATTAAATACTCTGTGTATTTAGAAAAAAAATAACATCGTCTTTTTCTCTATTTTGGAAACAACCATTGAAATTTAAAAATTGTCGGTTGGTATTTGGCTCTTTTGGTAATGTTCGCAGTGAAAATACACTCATAGAGTAACCTCCCTTTTGGAAATTGTGAGACCTGATAATCTTTAAGTGACCGCTCGATCTTTGGAATCCCTTCGTAATTAGCTAATTATGAATTAATTATTGATTTCTAAGACAAACTGATATTTTTCCTAATCATTAGAACACTCCTGCTTTCGATTTATATAAGTATTAGCCGTCCAATAATGGAATATATATAAATGAAGAAAAATAAGGCAACCGAACTTTAAGAAGTGAAATTTGGCCTGTTTTATGTTAAATGAAATAAATGGAGTTTTAAAATTTCACAAGTGTATGACTGAAGGTTGAATATTTCCTGATTGCCACTGTACTGCCAATAA